CAGGGCCACCGCCCAGGTTCAGAAGCCGAGGCCCTCATGAGGCCCCGGCCAAACCTTAGCACGCAGGGGAAGCCGTGATTCTAGCAGAAACAACCGCCGCCCCTCACCTTTTCTCCTCAGCAGCTTTAGCTCCTGTGTAGGCATAAACACTACGTGCGGGCTCACCTGTTTCTGAGGTTGCTATGAATGCAACCCCAGCGGTGCCCTTCAGCTGGCTCTGACGCTCATCCACATGCACCATGGTCTCTGGAGGATGCTGTCTGCCCGTTCTTCTGTTGGGTCTGCCATGGGCAGTGCTGGGGGAACACAGCTTGGCCACACCCTCACCAGAGGCTCTGAGCATGGCGCAGCTGGACATGCTCATTCATCGGGGGCCCGGTGCACACACGCTCAGCTCTGCCACACACACACCCCAGAGGCACCGGAAGATAGCTGCCACCACTCCACACTCTGCCACCTTCAAAGCATGGGCGACAGCACCCGCCACACATGAGGATGAGTACGAAGGGCTTGGAACGGGACCCGGCACAGTCAGTGCTCAGACAGCTCTGGCTGCTGCCACTGTCACAGAGCATCGTCATCCTCATTGTCAGGGTCCTCTGTGAGGAGCTGCTAAATGTTGGGATGCCTGCTTTTCCATTCACACAAGTTTCTGGGCTAGGGAAACCCTCACCACGACTTTCGGAAACTGTCTGCATGCCATGACTCTCCATAATTCTTAGTCCCTTTTCCTTTCTTCCTGCATCTGACCCACTGGGGAGGAGAGGGCTTCGTTCATCCGGCTCACAGAACTCTACGCTATCCGTACCGGGCGACATGCTGGGTGCCGAAGGTACAAAGACGAATGTGACACGGCTTCTCCCCTCACCACATAAATTCAATAAGCACAGGGAACCCTGGGAGCTGCCTCCAGTCATCAGTACCAACCTCCGTTTCTACTATTGACCTGGCAAAGCTGCATGTGGGGTTCTTGTGGGCAGAAACCCTGTCTTCCTACACAGCAGAGTTCGCTCCTTCTGCTTAATCCTCAGTTTTTTGGACCCTGAGCTCCCTGCCTACGAAGAAACCATTCCAGAACTTTCTCTCAAACCTATAACTTCTATCATAAAAAGACATAACTTCTATCCCTTTCAACACCATGGACTCATTTTCATAGGCACACAGACTTGATCTCATTTAAGCTCAGCTGGATTGCTTTAAGGATGTAGGTATGTGGCTTTGCCATCGTGCTAAGACAATAAATAAAATGAAAAGGAAGGGGTTAATGAGAGACCAGATGCCTGGCAGAACCAGCAGGGCTCTGTAGCGTGGTCAGGGCTTGAAAGCTGAGTCCACTGTTGATGCACAGCAGGGCTGGCAGACCCAGCTCCTAGCCTTGTTCACATAGGAGAGGCTCAGACGGGGCGCCAGGTGAGCAAGCTCACGGGGACAAATACAGGCTTGCTAAGTTGGCCACAGCAACCACCGGAGTGCCCAAGGATGGAGCCAAGAGTAACTCTGAGGGCCACAGCACTGGGCAGAATCAGAGGAATGAGAACAAGTGAAGGGCAGGCAGGTTGCTCAGACAAGCACAGGTCTGCCACCTAGTGCTAGGCATGGGAGGATGAAGGGCGCCACAGGGGCGGAGGCTGGAGAGGATAAAGGGGAAGCAGTCACACAGGGCAAGGAGGGAGCGGAGGGCGGGTGGGCCACGAAGGAGTGGAGTGTGTTCTAAGGAGGGGAGATGAGCGACAAGGACAGCACTAAGGACACAGGAGCAGGGGGTCACAGGAGGAAGTGGAGGAGTCTGTAATGGAATTTATTAACAGAAGTCATAAGTGCAGCTAAAAAAATCAAATGAATTTATTGCTGCATTGCTCACAAAAGAAGATGAGAGACAGATGCCAGCAGCAGACGCACACTAGAAGAGGGCCAGTGTTGCAGGACCCACAAGCGTGGCCAAACAGGTGATCAAGAAATCTGCACGGAGCTGCCAGGGGAAGGAAGAGGGCATCGAAACCAGGCACCAGGAGACCCAGGAAGGCCCAGCAACCAGAGCAAGAGCAAGACAGACACAGCCCTCATGGGCCGGTGTCCCAACCCGGCATGACTCGCAAGTGAGCCCTCTGCTCCCCCAACAGCAGCTAGATGTCTGGAGGCCACGCAGCCATCCACTCACTGAGCTGCAGACTGTGTGGAACTACTCAGGTCTCTCCAAGCGGCAGGCAGCTCTGCTCTGGCACACTGTCCAGGCCGCTCCCCAGCTTTTGCTGAAACAGCCCTACACCATCGCCTCTCCACATGGCCAGCCCTGCCCTGCCCTGCCCTGTCCTGCCTGCCTCTCGGGCTGCAGCTGCACGGCAGAAGGAGGCCATCCTGGGTGGCGTGACCCTGTCTCTTCCTCCACGGATGCAGACAGTCTTACCTTCCTGTGCCTAAACCCAATTCCATCCACACTCTGGAATTGGCACAATCTCTGTGTTCACGTCAGCAGCTAAAGGGAAACGAGTCCTAGCTCCCATTAAAACCAAGGCCACTGCTCAGGACTGCACTGTGTCCCCAGATGAGGGTACTGAAGCCCTGACCCCCATGGAGTGGCCCCAGGAGTGGGACCTTTGGGGGCTGAGTCAGTGTGGGTGAGATCAGGAGAATGCGCCCAGGATCAGCACCCTTCCAGGAAGCGAGAGGGAGTGCAGTGCACATGCTCTGGGTGCCACTGCCTGCAACCATGTAGGCGGTGTGGGTGTAGGCTTACGCCTCCACGGCTGAGCCAGGCCCCCGTCAGTGGTGTTCTGCCACAGCAGCCCAGGCTGAGCAAGGCAGTCGCCAAAGCTACCTGGCCACTCAGTGGGGACAAACCTGGGCCACCCTCCCTGGTGAGACAGGTGCCCTGACCCTATTCCTTGGCTCTCAAGGGACATCAATCAGGGCCGCAGTGAGCCCTCCTGTCCTCAGGGCTTCTCCAGAGCGGTCTCCTCCGAGTGCTGCCCATGTGCCAAGTCATCTTCCCCCAGGCCACGTGTCCCTGAGATGGGGGGAACTGCCGCCCAGCACCCAGGGTGTGGCAGCAGAGCTGGGCTGCGTCTTCTCTGTGCTGAGGGTGCTGCAGTTTATGGATCCTGTCTAAGGCCCTGATCATGGTTATTTTATGATTTAAGATGTTCCGCAGCTGGCAACGCTACAGTGGGGCTTTATTTTCCTTATCAACAACTGATTTGGAAAGGCAGCTGACTAGTTACTCATCAGCCAAATGAGACAGGTCCCGTTAACTAGTGACCATCGGCCAGACCATGCAAACTGGAGGCCTGGTCTCCACCCAAGGGGCTGGGGTTGGGCACAGAGCCTCTGTGGAAATGTCACAGAAGAGAGACCTTCGCTGCCTACTTCACAGCTCTGCAATGGGAAGCCACTCTTCATCCTGAATAGCTATGAAGACAACATAACATGCAAGGTTCTTTTCCCTTCCTTTGGTCAGAGGGGTGGGGCTGAGGGTTCGTCTGGAAGAGACGCTGACCAGGCTCGCGGGCATCATCTCAGGTCTCTTCCAGCTGACAATCCCTTCTGTTGTAGTGCATAATTTCAGAGGTCCAGTTAGATGGGTTTTTTTGGTACCAGGGATTGAACTCAGGACCTTGCACTTTCAAGGCAGGTGGTGGAACCACTGAGCTAAATCCCTGGCCCAAGTTAGATGTTAAAGCAAAACACTAATCTTTGTTCTGGAGGTAGCACTGTATTAGAAATAAGGACTTCAAGTAAAAATATTTTAGTTTATTCCTTGTAAAGATAAATTTAAACTGTTTTCAAAATTTCTATGTACCACATTCACAATTAACATAGTATAAGTGATAAAAACTGGACTTTATTGGCAAAATTTTAAAATTATGAGTTGAGACCAAATATATACAAAATGCAGATTCAATTTTACTTTTGTTGTATGTGTACACAGAAAGAAAAAATGTGATTTTATAACTCAATGTTTAGAATTCTTGGATTTTGTTTTAAAAACATCAGTTAGTTTACTTTTACAATTTTCAGGTTTGTTATGAAATGAAGAGGTAAGAGAGGAAGTTCAGGTTTCTGTTTATGAGCTCCTCTACAAGAAACACACTGTAGGTGTGAATCATTTTTATTCTAAATAAAAAGGCAAAATGAATCTAAATCATCACAATATTTTCACTTTTTAAAAGGCCTTTTGAAGTACAGACACACCCTGACATGCTCTGGAAAAATTCTGATTCCACGGCAACAACGCGGAGTCCAAGGCCAGCTCCCTGAGGCGGGGGGCCAGGCACAAGATGGAAACAAAGAGCCCATGCTCAGGAAGCAGCCACCTTTCTCCCTCCTTCCACAGCCTCGCTCTTCCTGCTCTGCTCTTTTATTTGCTATTCACCCTCTCACAGCCTCGGGATGGGGACATCCTCACAGGCCAGGCCAGCCCTGAGGCAGGCAGTGAGGCGCCTGCCCATCTGGCCAAGCCACGAAGCCATCCTGTGTAAATCCGAGAGAGATCACCAAACAGTGGAAGTGTCTAGCGTGGTTTTCGCTTCTTCTTGTTTCCCTCTTGAACCTCCACCTTACTGTCCCTGTTCCTTACACGGCCCGTCTTTAACCAAAGGTCTTTCAGAGGTATACACCACACAGGGATTGGAGACAAAGGCAAGAAAGCAACACACGCCAAGCCAACTGCATAGCCATCCATGAGACACTCGGCTCCGAGGGCCAAGGCCCCACATAAAACCACTGAGGACTCTGAGGCGAGGTCTCAGTGGTGTGGATTCCACGGAGAAGAGAGAGGCTGGGAGGAAGCGGAGAGGCAGTGGGTGCTGGCTTTCATGTGCTGTGAAGAGACACGCAGACATGATAATGACGGCCCCGCCAGGGGAGAGCAGGACCTCTCCTGCACCCAGCTGTCGGGACAACAAGCCATTAGCAGGCAGAGCAAACAGTTCCACTTAACTCAGACTGCACTTACCAGGACATGGCTGAAGAGCACAGTGCTTCTCGAGAGAAGAGGCCCTTACCTCGTTCGCTGTATTGTGTGTTCCAACGATTCGGATGAAGGAGGCAGGCTGTCTCTCAAAAGTCACCGACTGCCAGGACCTGGGAGAAGAAACGCAGGTTAGGCGGTGTCATCATCTTGTGACAGTATGGCTCACGGAGTTGCGTCCACCCGGGAGTGAGCACCCCAGGAGACCTGTGCTACAGCAGGGTGAGGCTGGACCACCACCTCACATGTGCTGAAGGGGCACAGGAAATAGTGTCCCATCCGGGAGCTGAATCCCCTCAAAGAAGGCACTAGTTGATGACCCGTCAGTCAATGTGGCTCAGGGTTCTCAGAGGCTGTTGCGTAGAACACGTGTACATTGTGACAAGGGTGGGCCAGGGTTGGGAGCAGTAAACAAACCATTCTCATCCCTAAAATGGGCCAGGGATGGGCCGAGGCGAGAGGCTGCTGGTGGGGGAACTCGACCCAGGAGTGGAGTTTTGGAGCAGGGAGGGCTGGCGGTGGGCAGGGTGGGGCCAGACCAGCACTTAGCGCAGGCAGCTTCTCCCCAGGCCCCCACTCTCAGGACCGTCCCGTCCCTGGGTGGTCTCAGAAGTGCCCCGCTATCCTGAAGGCCATTCCTCGTGATGAGCGCAGGCAGGCAGGGCCAGCTCACTCCCAAGGTGCTGGCTGCCCCGGGGCCGAGGCTCACAGTTCATCAGGATGTGCCGAGGAGCGCACACACCCATGGCTGCAAACTCCAGTAATATTTTCTATAATAAATGCGAGGGGTTCACAGTTGTTGCCGTCCCTCCTCCGCTCACACAGTGGAAATGCCAGCTGCTGCGAAGCTGTTTCCTGTAATTGTCTAATTACCAAGTAATTCTAGCAAAGAAAATATATGTATTTGCAGTTTGTTTTCTCCCTCTGGTTTCAGGTGTTCCATCTTCTCTCTCCCCATGAACTTCCCGCTGAGACTGATTCACTGCTGCCTGGACACCAGGCCTCTTAAGGTCATTAAAAAGTCGTTACCAGCCTGTGTGCAAAGACTGTGCCTCAGAAAGCAGTTTTCTGAAAGCAGAATCAGAAAAAATCAGTCTTTGTAAAAACGCCATCATTCATACATGAAGGTGATGCCCCTGACCATCCTAAGTTTGTACTCGTGCTGCTTCTCAGGAGGGGTCTTCACCCCCAGACCCAGCTCTCCCTGCCCCCCTGCAGATGGGACCCAGCCTGTGGCCCGGGGCGGTCGGCCAGGCCTGGCTGTCACATCCAGGGAGAGCCAGGGAAGCCTCGGGGGGCATCAGAGTCCCATGCCTTTCCCGAAGGAAGCCACAGCACACACCGAAGCTGGTCTATAGCCTGCTTTTCAGCCCAGCCCTCCAGGAAAGGGAAAGACAAGTCACAACAGCCAGCGACAGCTCCTGGGTTCAAGTCATAGCTGCACAGAAAGGCTTGGGGTGGGAGGGGAGGCCAGAGCAGAGGCGACAAAATGAAGATCCTGCTCCTAACATCCTAGCCCCGTGCCTGTCATTCCTCTGGTGATTCTGGACTGAAGGTCAGGCTCCCTACGAGGAAGCCAGGGGCCAGGTCATGCCGAGGGCCGACCTGGCTCCTTCCATGGGCCTGACCCTGGCTCCCTCTGCTACTTGCTCCCTTGCGGCCACCCCCTCTTCTCTCCTCTTCCAGGTTCCTCCACAGCCCAAGGGCTCTGGGCAATGCGGTGGCCTGAGCAGGATGGAGGATCGGTGGAGTAATAAGATCAGAAGGTCTCAATTTAATACCAATCCTCCATTATATCACATTAATATCTAATCACATTAGAGTTCATTTGCACTAACACAGCCTGAGAGTTGAATATATGATCTCATTTTCAGCAGAACCAGATACTAATCCTAAAGGGAAAATATCAGTAGGAATGGAAGCTGGTTAAGATGAGGTAATGAGCAGCTCTCACCCCAACTCCCAGATTCCATTTCCCCCACCTTCTTCAAAATGACCTTCCTTCCCTTTTCCTGCCTTCCTCTTCTCCATCTCCCTCACTCCCTCCCTTTCTTGGAGCTAGCTTCTCCCCTTGTTTCCCAAGTTGGTCTCAAAAGGCTGGGCTCAAGAATCTTCCTGCCTCAGCCTCCTGAGTGCTGGGACTATAAGTGCACACCACTGTGGCTGGCCAAAACAATTGAACATGGATCGATGTGGCGACAACTCCAGGACTGAGCCACATCTCCAATCACTACGTGACCTCAAAGCTCAAGGTCTCAGCTGGGATTTCACAGGGCCAGAAAACCACACCATCACTCAGCCTGTGGGGAAGCTCATGACCATTCCTAATGCACTTTATCCACAACTGCATCAAGAGGTACTTGCCAAGAACCTGCCCCTCTTGTTGAGTGGCACAACAGCCAGGAAGGACAGTGGGGCCTCGGGGCTGTGGCAGCCCGCCCAGCTCAGAGCCTGGCCTGGGAGCCAGGAGGGAAAGGGTCTGGACAGAAGCTACGGGGCTCACAAACTCACAGGGTCTGATCTTTGAGAGTCTCCTGTAAACCAAGAAGCTCCAACACAGACTGAGGTTCTGCCCGGTGCTCTGGCACCGCAGTGGACAAATCCAACCCTTTCCTGAGCTGTAGTTTCCTCTGCTGCTGATGCACTGGCCCCAGCCATGCCCAGCCATCAACGTATGTGGTCAAAGGGAGGCGCCTAGGAATGGCTGCCACATGGTGATGCAGAGTTTGGCTCTGGACTGGAGAATTTTGAGAATCATTTACTCTCTTTTGTACACTTCCAAATGTTTGAATTCAGTAGAGTGCATACATACACATTAAAAACATCCATTCCGCCTATGGCCAGAGGCATCAATAGAGATTAGGAGACATGAAGCTGGTGAAAGGTCAGCATCATACTATTTCTCATGGAGAGGACAACAGGGCAACACTTGGGACCTTGGGCTTTAAGTGAGGTGTTCGGTGCACTAGGGACAGAATGACACAGTGTGATAGCTTGGGTCCTGGAGTTTTGAATCAGTTTTGAATCTTTGCCACTTCTGTGACCTAGGCAAGTTACTCGACCTCTCTGGGCCTTAGTCTGTCATCTATAAAACAAGGATGATAAAAATAATCATCCAAGATGTTTTCATAAAGTCTGAGCACCTTGGCAAATGTGAACCGGCGTTGGCATATACTAAGTGCTAGGAAAAAGCATAATGAGCCTGGACGAAAATCTGAGTCATCAGGCTCGACAGCGTGTGACTGACAGCCAGGCCACTCAAGATGACTCCCAAGCAGCACCCTTCTTTTCGACAGACAGGAAGTTAGGCACTGGGGGGATTAAGCAAATGTGCTGAATACATTCTTGAGTTTGGCACCTGCTGGTTATTAAGGGGGATCCATGCAAGATATAGTGCTTACTCTTAAGTTTATAACATCATCAGGAACACTGACCATCCTTCTAACTCATTAGCAAACCATGCAAACAGTACAGGACCAGTGGTCCCAACTCACAAACTGGTGGTGTTCCAGAACGTCCCTCATTACTGGCTGTGTGATAATGGGTGGAAATAATTTTTTTCCCAAGAACTAAAGCTATAAATTTTGATGGGGTTCCCAGGCCCACTCACAAATTCAATTTAATTCATAATGAGGTTGAAACATATCTACGAAGTTTAAAAAAGGGAAAAAAATGATGTGTTGCCATAGTAGTAATCAAACAAGTCAGAAAAACAAGGGATTTAAAACAATCTTTCTAAAGCTGCCCTGTGAGGAATGCGGATTAAATGCTGGTGTGCATATAAAATCTGGGAGGGTGTGGAACAGAGTAGGCGGTCTGTTAACGGGAGAGTGAGACAGTGGCCACATCTGCCCGTGAGGGCCTTTCCCTCTCAGGCCACTGTGTGGCACTCAGAGTGCTTCCCAGTCACGACCTGCCTCACCTGCTTCCTGATGGTAGCTGGTGGGTAGATGCACAGCCAACCTGAGTCCCATTTCAGAGACGAGGACACTGAGGCAGAAGCAGCCAGTAATCTATACAGTATCCCAGGGGTGCCCAATGTAAAGTCAACAACAGATGCCAGATTTAACACAGCTAGTTCCTGCTCTTTCCACCAAAGTGACCAAAGGGGTACTGACCTCCCACTGTCCCCCAGGTTTTACTTTCCTGGCCCTCAGAGTATTACTGATACTTCCTTTGTATGTCTGAGTAGTGAGTGGAGACCACAGTGGCCAGAAGATATATCATAGCTGACCCTAGCAAGTGACCATCCTGTGAAGTCTCATTTCCTGTGTGGATCGGGAGGTCACTGTGCAGCACTGCCACTGAGGGCTGTAATGGTTCACCCCGAAAACAGGAGTGTAGCTCGTGGTAAAGGCACAGCAGCTACTGGCTATCACTGGTATTTGTATGTATACTCGTTTGTCCATTCCTTCATTCCTTCCTGCAGTGCTGTAGACTGAACCTAGGCCCTCGTGCAAGCTAGGTTAGGGCTCCACCTCTGAGCAGCACTCCAGAGCCACGGGAGGGTCTTCAGGTCTCTGCCTGTGGTAACCTGGAGAGGGGAGGTGGCAGGCATCCCCCCCAGAGAGCGCATTTCGGGGACAGACCCACACCAAGCAGCGGGCTCACAATGTGGGACAGCACACATGAGACTGTGCATGTTATTTCTGAGACGCACATTCTTATTACATATTTTTAAATATTCTGGAAGTATATGTGCTAAATTCTTGACAGTGGCTGTCTCAGAGGAGAGGGCAAGGAAAAGGACTGCTGACGGGAACAAAGGAGACTTCAACATTAACTGGAATGTTTCATTTCTTTGATTAGAATAAAAAAGACTTGAAGTGTATGTAAAAAATATTAACTATGGTCAATTCTGGGGGATGAGAATATGAGTGAAAATTATATTACTTTTTGTTCTTCATATATTTTAAACAGCTCCTGAGATAAGTAAGAAAGAGAAAAGAAAAGAAAGGAAATCAAAGCAGTGTCTGTGTTTATGTAAGAAAGAACTTGCCGGAGGTGGAATTCACTGAACTGCAAATATAAAATTTGGGAGGAGCAGAGCTGGTCCCACAGCAGGGCTGTGATCTGCCAGGTGGCACTGCTGGCTCGGACAGCTGCATCTTTG